CAGGAATGATGCATGCAGAGTGAATACATTTCAAAATTAAGTCTTTTGCTCATTTAGCATTATTTTTCAACATACCAAATGCATTTGGTCCGCATTATGGGCTTATTGTCTGCCAAGTTTTATTTTTAAATCAAAAGTTTTTCAAGACCAGATACGGCAGCTCAAACATGTAAACTCCTGGTTTTTCTGTGCTTTCATGCTGTAACTTAAAAATGGACATAAACTTTTTTTTTCAAAATTGTAATAAATTTGCTACTGGATTAAGTTTCGTCTGCCAAGTCAAAATAGGGTTTTTAAGGGGAAGCCTGAGACTGGCCCACTGTAACTGCAGCAGAGCTAATGGGATAAGCTAGAAGGAACAAATAGCATTTTTTCCCCTAAAAGTTTGTTACTGTGGCATATTTGGAACTCCTTGGGAGCGCTTATTAAATTACTTTTAAAATCTCTGTATTAACTTTTGAGTGCGGTAGTCTTTTGGTGAGTGCAGAGTAACAACTCTTAGAGTACACTTTTATTCTTCTCAACCTTCTGCTTATCTGTGGAAATAAAAAGGCCATGTACACATATAACATAGGTTTCCCCTTAGAGAGCCACTCGTGAAATAATGGATACTGGTTTGCTACTTTAAACTACAGGATTTTATTTTATTAAATGGATTTTGGTGATGTTTTAAGATACAAGAACAGATTCCATAATTCAATTTAATATATGTATTTTCAAGTTTAAAATCCATTTATGAGAACTATTTTAGAAATACTTGAAATTATTAAAACAGTTGCTAGACAGTTAAAATAAAGAAGCTTTAACTTTTCATAAGTTTCTTACTCAGTTTAGCTAGCATTTTGAGTACTCTTCTCAAAATAGTCACATAAAAGACATCTATGCATGTCTTCAAAAATATCTATGTTGCATCCTTGTAATGCTAGACTGGTGGACTATAGTTTTCTGATGTCATTTATAACTTTCTGATAATGGATAACACAATGGCTGACACTACATTTATTAACTTCTTCCATGTAGTTCCTATTAGTTAAAAGAAATAAGAAAGGTTTAGCAGACAGGAGTTGAATTAGAGTTTCAAATGATCCGATTGGCATTCCAGTTTATGAGAACAGCTTCTTTGGCATTTAAATTAGCCATGAGAGAAAATGGATTCACATTTTAGTTTTGGAAAATATTTAGAAAAATGTATATGTTTATGAGGGTAAGAAATCAAGCCAGGAAAAATGTTATTTTGAAACAAAATATTTATCGTTCTTATAAAATTAATGTCTTTTTTTTTGCTAATTGTGATTTGAAAGTTTCCTTTCAGCAGCTGGTCCATTTTATTGGCTAGATTTTTATTTCACTTGCATCAGTATATCTGCAGTGACTCTGTTAGTAGAGTCCAGTGTAACTAAGATCAGAGTGTGACCATGTATGTCCGAATGGTTCTGATCAAATTGACAGGATACAAGTTTAGCATTCTGTGACAAAAAAAATGCATTTTAAAGTTGATAAAGGAAGATGAGTTGTACCATTTCCCATTCAAGTCATTAACTTGCTTATAAACACTGGGGTGTATGCTCCCTCAGATTTATGTGTGGAATTAGGTTTGCATGCATAAAGATAAAAGATAAAGTATAAATAACAGATGAAGTATAACCTGCTGTTAGGAAAATAGTTTTGTGTTATGCTTCTGAAAGCTATTGCAAGATCCTTAAGAAACAGAATTCAGAACTTTAACTTGTCTCCCACAGTCTTCACATGTTATATAGTATGCTGCAAAACTGAAAGCTTTTATACTTTTTGTATTTGGATTGGATCTTTCTTTAATCATTTCATATCTTCCTCATAGATTGCTGACATTTCTTAAATAAGAGCAAACTAAAATTATATGCAACATTGCCAGATCATGTAATAATAGATCAGTGAAAAATGGAGAGAATAAATACATTCATACATATCACATATGTAAGTGTTTGTGTTAAGTGGATGCGCTTATATCTTCTGTTATTTATACTGTAGTCATTTAAAACAACAGATTATCTAACCAGAGGAGTCTTTAATGCAGATATCATTTATATAGAATGTAGAAGGTATCATTTTTCTACCTTAAATTAACCTTTCTAATGTGTCTCAAAGTTTCCAGTTTGGTTTTGCTAAGCTTTAGTTAAAAACCTTTTTAATAGGGAGCCACTTTTTGCTTGTTCCTGGGACTGCAGTCATTTGGGATAAGTCCCGTTGTATAGTGTTCTGCTGTTTCCCCTGGACATCTGAAGAACTAGAAACTTAATTCATCTACCATTATTATTTGTAATACAACTTTACTGCAGAGGTCATGGACCCTTTGTGCTAAGCTATGTACAAATATGTAACAAAACAATCTAAAAATATTTATAGTGAGAACTGGATGTAAATCAAAAATTTAAATTAATCCTAGACTGGTGAGTTCATGAAAATTTTAACATTGAAATTATCTTGTGATCCTCCAAAAACACTCCAACTCTTGGTCACCTTTTGAAACAGAATGTTCTGCCTTGTTACAGCTCAAGGAATTTAAAAATACCAGCTTCCTGGAATGTCACTGTTTTGTGAGCCAGGATGATAAACTAAGGCAAAACTTAAAAAACAAACAAACCCCAAAACCTACACATGCACATCCCCACTCTCTCTGAAAGTATGATCGAGAGAGAGAGAGAAAGGAAGAAATGTCAGAATGGAGAGTTTGCAAACTTTGTACAGATGGATTTTCATTAGTCAAACTTCATGTGCGACTTAGTCTAGTAGAAAAGCCAGAACAAATAAAAAAGAACAAGGAAACTAGGACTCAAACCTGGAAGGGAGGTAGCTTAAAAAAAAAAACCTTGAGAGACTGGTTGAGTGTGAAGACGTTTGATCTTTATTTTCAGACATTTGTAGTCAGGAGTGTGTTTAGTTTCTGATGTCTTCATCTCTGCTGCTGTTTTTTTTTTCTCTCTTTCCTCTTTTCGTCATTCTAATTCCAGGGAATTTACGATTTTCATATGGCCTGATTCTGTGTCCTCTGTCACAAGAGGCTGAGTTTGCCAAATTCACCCTGAAGGTTTTCAGCATCCTGACCTCACAGAAAGAGAGGATTCAGCACATTGTAGGTCCAGACCTTTTGGTTGTAGATACCTCTTTATACCTGTATTTGTATATATGATGTGTACATACTCTTTTATATATGTATATGAACACACAAGTTTAGAGTCACCGTACAGAACAGCTCTGTGGTTTTGTGTGGTCCTTACCAACTTTTCTTTTCCATTTAACTTTTTCAGAAATTAACATGTAATTAAAAATGAGCAATAAAATTTAAAAGCATAACCTGAATACAATGAAACATCTTCAGAAACCACTCTAAGGAGCACCAAAACTTCCAGAATTAATGATTTCTGTAAGTGTGGACCAAAAAACCCCATACTGGAACCCTCGGGGACATTTTAAAATAAACGATCATTTAAGACAGCAGAAGGAGTTCCTTGCTGCAGACCTCAGTATAGCCAAGCATTGAAATTGAGAAGCTGAATGTCAAGTAGAGGAGTAAGTGCACGAAACAACGTTACTGCAATTTGAAAGTTACACAATTAAGATCAGATTGCTTGTATATTGCCTGATTAGGCAATCTTTTTTTAGCTTCCTTATATTTAGGAAGTTTTGTGTTTAATTTCTTGTCATTATTTTAAAAAGAAAGAAATTGTACTAAAAAGGGACAGCATCAATCCAAATCTATCCCATATGTTGTAAGCAAAAGGCAATAGTTTTTAAAGTCCAGTTTGCTTTTAACTACTTAAGCTGTTTCACTCATTTTGTTTCATTCAGTTTGAACAATGAAAATCATTAAGTCACTTTCACTTTTTCTTATGTTTAGTTTCCATCTATTTTCTCAGTTCTGCAGTGTTTGGGTTGCAAATAGAGTTGATCAGGAATTTTTCAACACACTTTTTTTGTTTGTTGGGAAATGCTGATTTACCAAAACTTTTTTTTCTGGAAGCATATCAATTTTGGTTCAAAATTTGGTTCAAGAATTTCTAGTAAGCAAGAGAGAGAACACCATTCAGGATTCCCGATAGCCTGGTGGTCAGGGTATGTTTCGGGGCTCTTGGACACACAGGTTCATGTTCATGTTCCTGCTCTCCCTGGTTTGGAGGAGGTACTTAAATGAAAGCATCCTCCAAATATCAAGTGAATGTTTGACTACTCATCTATTGATTCTGTCTCTAGATTTATGCCAATTAATATTTAATTTGTTATACAAAGTAAATCCTATCCAGCAGGAGAGAGGGAAGAGAGAGACTGGCTTTGTAGCTTGGTAGGTAAGGAGTCTGGAGCAGGGATTTCAGTCTAGGTCTCCCTCACTTCAGATGAGTGACCTACCACCAGCTTGTTGGCTATTCTGTAATGGGTCTGTCTCTCAGTCTCTCCCCTACCCCTGTTCCCCAAGCACACCTTTCCTTTCTTTTCTTTGTCTTTCTTTCTCTTTCATTTTCATGAAATATAATTTTTGTTTTCTCACCAGCTCTGACTGCAAACACTTCAGGGAAATGTGTATTTGTCTAAAAAAACACTGGCTTTATTTATTTATTTTTAGAATTTAAACCATTTCCCTTAGCTTTCCTTTATTTGCAAGCTTGATATGACATGTTTTTTAGACTGGGCTACTCTGGGTCAACAATTCCTTTACCAATTTCAGGGTTCCCATTAGGGTTGTTCAGACCCCAAGGGATGGAAGAGGGCAGGGGTGTGAAGCTCATTACTGCTGCTGTTACTTCTGTTGATGTCATGATGGTATTCCCAGGCACTTCAACAAAAGCAAAATCAAGGCAATTTTCTGGTTTTGGATAATTTTCTGCAAAAGAGTTTGCTTCAGGGCAGTGGTGTGCACTAGCTTTATGATTTGCAATGGCTTTATAATTAGAGCAGAGTATTTTTATGTTTTTTAAACAAAAGCTTTGAAATTCAAAAGATTGCAACATGTGACATAAAATTCAGAGGGACCTAAAAAGCTTGGGTTCGGCAGTGTTTTCATGCCCTTGGTGGTGTGTGTGCTTCATTGAGTCCATTACCATTTCTCTACTCTGTATGTTCTTAGCAGCCGTCTAAAAGCAGCAGTCCCTGTACTTGGCCAGAACCTTTTAAAGACTGGATGGGAAATATGTATAGCATTGTGAGCCTAGGGCAGATGTACAATAGGGAGGTGCTGCTAAAATGTTAGGAGAGGGCAGAATAGGACTCACTCCTCAAAACAGTCTGGCGATTGTTAACACACTTTTATTGTTAATACCTTCATCCAGACTAAGCAAATTCTCCAGTCCTCAGTGAGGACTATGCCCCTGCAAAGTTGCAGACTATTCATCCAACTGTAGTGGAAAAAATAATTATGTTTGGACAACAGTAAAAGGCTTTTTTTTCTGTTCTCCCAATACCCAAAATGGCCATAGGAATTTTACATAAAAGCAAGAAAGGAGACCGGCACAAAATGTATATGTTCCAGGAAGATGTAAATGTGTGAAAACATATGGGTCTAATGGCTATTGTTTTACAGCTTTAGTTACCATAACAGGCCCAATAATGAATGTAATAAAGAAACAAGTAAGAAATTAACATTTGAAAAAGGAAGCTGAAAAAACTGAGAAAACAGTGTTGTTATAACTAAATTGGCTTAGACATTGATTTAGTTAAGTGCAGTGCCTGTTGTGGACATTCGTACAGTATCAAGAAAGCCTCATAGTGCATCAAGCATAGGTAAGTTTTACCTACCAGTTTAGGATAGGTTCTCAAAGGCACAAAGGTTGAGTGTTTAACTCCCCTTTGTTTTTTTGGAAATCTCCCTGAAACACTAAATCAATATAAACTATGCTTATATTGTAAGTTGTATTGCTGTCTTATGGAAGCTGCCCTGAGCCTTTCTTAGGAAGGGTGGCATATATATCACATAAATAAATCACATAACTAGATAAATAAACCAGGACCAGAAGGTTCACACAGGTGGCTACACTGATTTAACTAGATCAAAATTTTAAGTGAAATCATTGCTATTTTCACTTGTAAACAAGGCCTTGTATCTAGTTCTGCAAACACTGGGAGCTTGAAGGTGGAGTGGCCATCCTACATACTTGCACTCTGCTGCTTGGGAGGCAGGATTCTGTTTCCCCATTTCTGAGAAAACTCTAGTGCTTGCCTGCCTATCAGGTGTGCATCAGAGGGAGGATTTGGGTCCAAAAACCTGAGAAATATGAAATCATTTTTAAAAATTAAATAAAAAATGTGAAGAAAAAAATAAAACACAGCTAGTGTGAAACCACAGGTAGGACCATGGAGAAGTGTGATTTCTCCCTTTCGAGGCTGGCTTTGAAATCACACACTTAATCTATATCTTTGAAGAGAGAGATTCTGCTACCTAGGGCAAACCTATAGTTGGCTTCAAATAACTGCTGCTGTGCTGTGCTTAAGCAGGTGAGACTCTTGCTGTACCTGATAAAAATGTTCCCATTTGGTTCCCTGCATTTTCAAATGGTCCAGCTTGACCTATGTGCACATACATTTGTGCATGCACTTGGGTATGCTAAGACTGCATACAGAGGTAACAGAATTTTTGTGAGCAAAACGCTTGGTACCCAATGAGTTCTTACATCTTCACAGGTGCCTGTCACCTTGTGCACATACATCAGCACACCAAAATACATGTGCAGGCATGCAAGTGTATCAAAGTGAACAGACACAAGTGGTAAAACTGAAGGATGAAGATCAGGTCCAGGTTAGGGATTCTACAGTAGCCAGAGGAGAATGAATGAGGATAGTATTTTTAGACTTCTTGGCAGTAAATTTACACGAATGGTGAGCCCATAAAAATTCATTTATATCTGGAAAATGTCTCAATCAAAGCTTCATACCTGGAACCATGTTCCTGTGTGTTCAGTCTCTTTCCACTGCTTGATGTTATATAAAAAAACAATCACTGGTAACATTTTTGTAAAGTCTCCTTGTACCGTGGTCTTTTGGACTGGCCTATGTCTTTATGCAATAGTATAGTGGTGCTGTTCACACTACTATATTAAAGGGTGTGTTTTCCTTAAACCCTGTCCACCCAACAAGTGCATAAAACTGATCTGGTAAAAATCCAGCCTGGTCTGAAATTTGGCAAAGAAGGGCATTTTTTCCTCTCATCTCTGACTAGTTGGTTTAAGCAGATACATCCCAAAAATATCCATCTGTATTAGACTTTTACACCCCCATCATGGTAATGGAAGCAGGGCATCTAGTTCAGAGAGATGCCTGGAAAAATGCACCCCATGTGAAACTTTTAAAAACTATTTTAAATAGTTTAACAAAACATTTTTTTCATTAAGTTTTCTATGATTATTACACCTTTATACTATGAAATATTTTAATTTTCATGGTAAATGGATTTGTGGCTGTATGGTATTATTTTAATCAGTCTTTATTGTGAAAACCTGTGATCACTTAAAATGGTGGATTTTCTTCTTTGCACCGACCCACAAATACATATGAAAATAAAAGTGGATACCTTCAATTTTTTTTTTCCTGGGAGTTACATTTTTTTAATGGATTTTTGAAAATTAAAGTTAGAATAGCAAGGCAGAAATGAATTTATAATTTTAAAAACTTTCAAGAAATCAATTCAAATTAGCTTTATTCACTCTATTTTTTCGCTTTTTAGTTTGAAATGTCAGGTGGTGGACACTGCCAGACTAGATGGAGCAGTAATCTTATCTGATGTAGCAAATCCTATTTCCCTTTGTAGGTCTGTGGTTTTTAAAAGCCATACCATAACTTTAAAAAACTCCTTTATGTGTTTAACTGAATTTTTTTAGGCCATTTGTTGATAATGTGAATACCAGAAACATAATGATTGAAACAGTTTATCAAGACCAGACTTCTGCTGTTACACACACACGTGCATGTGCTACACACACACACATACATATACACTCACACATACGTGTGTAACAGCAGAAGTCTGGTCTTGATAAACTGTTTCAATCATTGTTTCTGGTATTATATACACACAGCCCCTTCCAGGAGAGAGTTTAAACTGAAGGGAGTTACAAGTTTAGATAGATTGAAGAAGCAATGCTTGGATCT